TCGACTAGATTGATTTGGTTTTAATTTTAATCAATAATGATCCAAATTGAACCACAAATGCCCCTATCTATGAGACTATGATAATGCAAGGTATATTATTATGAATAATGTAGTACAATACTTTTCTCCTGTCTTAATTTACACGATTTTTTTAAATCTTAAAAGTCCGATGATTTTAGTTCATAATTTGTTTTTTTAATATATATATATATATATATAAAATATTTGAATTATTGATTACTATAGTATATAATATATTTTTTACGTCATTTTCAATTATGTATATTTTATTGCAAAACTTAAGAACTTAACTTTCGAGTACTATCGAATTTTAGAAATTATTGACTTTTGAATTTGAATAGTGTTATATAAATTAAGGTGGAAGGAATAATTTATTTTTAAGTATTGAAATTTTATTTTTATTTTAAATTTGTTCGACAATTTCTTTTGAGGTTAATTGATTTTATAGTTGCTTTTCATAAATTTGATGTATAATATTGACTTTTTTACAAGCAATTTTTATTTTACACCTACAAGATTTAGAAATAAGTAACTTTAATTCTTTATTTGTATGAGATTCACAATGTAAGCAAGCTTAAAAGGGTACAATTTAATTTTTTGTTTTAAATCTTTAAATAAATTTAACTATATAAATTTGGATTTAACCAAATTATGTTCCTTTAATTTTGTAATTTTTTCTCATTCATAAATAAAGTTGTACTTGCAATTTTATCTTTTTGTTTACAATGTTTTATCCATTATATTTATATCATTAAATAAAAGACTACGTACCCTTATAAGTTGTGATATAATAATTGAGATTTCTCTATTCTTAATTAAGAGGTCTCGAATTTGAATCTCTCTATATGAAAATAAATTATACCATTGCAAATACAAATTTAATGGATAATATTGTGTGCCAATTCTTACTTTAGTGTGTTATAATCAGTGTCATAGATAATATTTTACTTAGATACTATGCAAATATATACTTACTTGAACGTTCTTCTTTTAAACTTTAACCACATATTGTTCAAATGCTTATTAAATTGTGACCAAATAAACAATAACATATCCAGTGTAATCTCATAAGTAGGATCTACGAAGGATTGAGTGTATGTACTAGATTGCTTCCGAATTCTAATAAACTCTCGGCTCAAGGAAATATCGCGAAATGATCAAATAACAAAAGTGAAAGTACTAGAAAACATTTTGAAAACAGAAACAATATAACTATAATACAATAGTGCAATAATCGAAGTACAAGATACAATAGATAGTATCAAGAAAAAAGGAACAATATAACTATAATACAATAGTGCAATAATCGAAGTACCAAATACAATAAATAGTACCAAGAATAGAAATCAAAAGACAAGAAACTATTTTTCTATATATTATGATATTGCATAAGCCAATTCACAATTTACCAAATGACAATAATAAAATGTTAGTAATATATATATATATATACTTGTTTTTTCTTTTTCACTAATATAAAGGGATAAGGGTTTGAAAAATACCCCAACTTTGGTCGGATTTGCTATTGCGATACTAAACTTTCATAAGGACCTATTACCTCCCTAGACTATTTAATACCGTATTTTTTACCCCCTGAACTATTTAATAATGTATTTTAAAGGTATATATGTGTCCACGTGGACACATAACTATTTATAATTTTGCATTATTTTTTATGTCCATGTGGACAAATATATATGTTTAAAATACGGTATTAAATAGTCTAGGGAGGTAATAGGTCCTCATGAAAGTTTAGTATGTCAACAACAAATCCGACCAAAGTTGGAGTATTTTTCAGACCCTTATCCCCTAATATAAATTATAATATACCAACTCTTATTAATTTATGGAAGTAAATTAAAATAATAACTTTAGGTAAATAAATATATATACTATAATTTGCTATTTTCCTTTGTTAAAAGAATCATTTTTGCTCATAACAAGGAGTCTTGAAATTTTATTTTATACACATAAATCATATAAATAATTAAATAAACCCTAAAAAAAGTCATTCTTCTCCAATAGCAGACGTAATGTCACATAAGTCTGATATTAATGTTTCATGTGATATTTTATTCTCCATCTTTGTTAGATTACCTATTCAATCTTTATTACGTTTTAGATCAGTATCAATATCATGGAATGATATAATCTTTAGTCGAGAATTTAAGAAAGCTCATATCGATCAGTCCAAAGCGTTGGGACGTGTAAGTTTCTTATTACAAAGTTATATTAGTGATGAATTTAAATTTATTAATTTGAAAAATAATCTAGTAATTGCCATAGAAGATAACAAGTTTCCTCTAAAGGGATTTGAATACTCTCATGTGTTATGCTCACATGATGGTTTGGTATTATTACAAAATGGTGGCGTTTACAAGACGTTTGGTTTATGGAATCCATCGACTAGACAATGCTTAAAGCTTGCATCATGTCCACATATGAATATCTCCAATCCTCAAGGTTGTGGGTTGTGTTATGATCCTACGACCGATGATTGTAAGGTTGTATTGATTTATAAGTTGTTTTATCTTGTCTATTCTACTAGAAACTTCTGGACGGAAAAAATAACTCTCCCACAATTAAGTATTAATTCATGGTCATCACATTTATACGAGGGAATTACCACCGGTGGTTGTGTATATTGGTATAAGGTGGCGGGTGGTAATAGAAATTGTGCAATTATATATTTTGACATGAAGTCAGATGAATTCAAGGAGCTTCCAACACCGAGTTTCATAGGTGATAGTTGTAAGAAGCACTTGTTCCATTTGACTATCTTGAAAGGTCGTCTCAGCTTATACAGACTACAAAAAAAGAACGGATTGGAATTGAACATGTGGATCATGGAAGATGATGGATGGAAATTGTTAATGAAAATTCCCAAGGTATTACCAAAATTTTACAAATATACTAAAATTTTATGTTGCTTAGAGAATGATGAAGTTATTTTTCGAGGACCAACGAGTCCCCATATTTCCATTTATAACCCTAAACAAGGAAAAATTGTTGTTAAGGAATTTATATTCAATTCTAATATAGGTTATTCGTATTTATATCCATACCCAACAGGTTTGGATAATTTATATTTTCCAAAAATCATGCACTAGTTAATTTTGTATATTTTTTTTCTGATCTATAAATAAAGTTGCAAATTTATCTTTTGTTTACTTTGTTTTGTTCATTATATTTATACAATTAAAAATAAATTACTACTTATCACATTCTATCTATGTATATGTTGTGTTTGTTTTGAATCATATTGATAATAAGAAAAATAACATAAGTGAAGAAGTCGTGACAGAATACTATAGAAACCATGAAAAAACTAAGTATAGGATACAATAGATAATACCAGAAATCACAATAAACAAAGTATAAGATACAATAGATAGTACTAGAAATCGAAGGACAAGAAACTGTTGATTTACTTCCAATCACATTCTCATTTTTATGAAAGAAGTAGATATTATTGCATAAGCCAATTCACAACAAAACATAAAGCAAAGGACAGGCATGCCAATACATTTACCAAATGCCAATAAGAATCTAAATTTCCAAGATGTTTTCCACATAAGAAACAAGAGAAATGTAACAAGCTTGCAAATCACTAAGCACATGATCACTACCTCATGTCCAACTCTTGGTTTATCCAATGTCGGATCCTCGTGTTATATTGTCCACACTCCAGATGTCTAGTCTTTGAGTGTGCTCATTGGTGTGAGACGTAGTTATTTGCCAGTGGTTTTGGGCTATCCTCGCTTTATTAGCTAGTTGTTGGGGTTAAGTTAGGGCTGAGGTCCATTTCTTCACATTATCGGACTGTGGTATTGTCCCGGGCAAGTTTGGGGTTTGCTTTGTTCCCTGTCCTACTGAACAGGTGACACAGCTCCTGCTTGACAAGGGCACAGAAGACTAGACTCCTTACTGTAGTTATTCAAGTTGCCATACACATGGAGGTTGAAGAGACTGTTTGGATCTTCATAAAATGCTATCCAAGATTGATGATGCCAAATGCCACATCCATTACGACTATTGTCTCTCTTGAATATGTGAATTTTCAGCAGTTGGAGCAACCAGTGACATTCTTAACTTCAGCCCAATCGCAAAAAACTGAGGTACGTCAATGCTGATGAGGCGATGACCTCTAACTGAAACCATGTACCAGTCACAAGAAAGTAGTCACATATACTAGCAAAGAAAAATGAGTGATGATTTAGCATAAACCATATAAATGCCTATTAAAATGTGACCAAATAAATAGCATTGACAAAATCCATTCTAATTTCTCTGTTTTGTGATTGTGAGCTTAGCCAACATAGTTTTCTGGAATGACTCACTTTAAATCGCATTCTAATTCTTATGAAAGAAGCAGATATTGCATAAGCCAATACACAACAAAACAGAAAGCAAACGACAGAGACATGCCAATACATTACCCAATGCCAATAACAATCTATTTTTTCATGTTGTTTTCCACACAAGAAACAAAAGAATTGTGACAAACTTGCAAATCATTTGAACACGATCCTTTCCTAATAACCTGTAAACAAGCATTATTTAAGATCTTTTTTCTGGATTATGATGACATTTAGGTGTAGTCTTTACTCACCAAAAGCCTCTCCAGTAAACAGAAGTAGGCAAGCATGCTGATGATGAGGAGAACAGGAAAGTCTTGTCAAACCCTGTAAGCAGTTTGAACACGCCGAGTAAAATACCATGTAATTTAAATCAAACCTTTCTTCGTTTTGATAGGCACCATGTAATTAAATTATGCTATTTCCAGATAAGAAACAATAAAGAGTAACAAAGTTCATCACTTAGTGGAGTCTGGAGCAACTGCTTCTTACTTGATTTGTAAATTCAAACTTAACAAAGCATGAAAGGCATAACTGAAAAAGATCAATTTTGCAGTAAATCCTTTATCATATCAGACGCAATGAATCAAACATGATTATAGACATAAAATTACCTGATGTAACATCGTGTCTTAGCACATGGGGAGCTGAGGGGACTACACGATAGACACTCCATATGTAATCCATCTGTTTTAAGATCCTATCTTTGATAAGTGTTGGCACTGAACACGAGATATGTATGGGATGCTCGACTCCTGTTATCTAGAAGATGGTGACTTTGTAAGATTTAGAGAAAATGAAGAGTCCATAGTGAATAGAGAGAACAGGGAATCTTGAAGACTAAGTGAAGTTATAAAAAACTAACAAAACCTTCAAATACATGCCAACAAACCAGTAAGAAAATCCAGGATCTGCATATACATCCAGATAAAGCATTTAGAACTGTAATTGGAGAAGAATATTTACGCTTGCCTTTTAACTACACTCATTTTCACTAGGTTTATCCACTTCCAGCAGATATTATTATGTTAGTACTGACAAATTATGAGTAGTACTAGTGGCAAGTCTTTCCAAACTCAAAATCTCTGTGTAGACGAGGACATAACAGGACACATGGTAAAAACATCCAGCACTTAAATAGAAAAAGATAAAGACAAAGAGAAGTTTTCTTTTCGAGATGCCAACAATATTTATCAAAAAAGGTTTGAGAAAAGCAGTAAACCGAAATAAATTGGCAATAGTCATAAACAACGGCTTCCAGAAATTGCTAGAAGTCTAGTATGACATATATGAACAGTTACAAGCTGAACTAGCAAATTTGACAGACATTGTAAGACGGGCAACACTTACTAGTTCACCAGTAATCTTTACAGGAGCAAACTCCATCTTTGAAATGGTGGAATCTCTTTATATCTCTTAACACAATCACCCTTTGACTCATCCTGCTGACATACTTCATTAGAGAATGGCAGTCCCCACACACTCTAAGGTTCTTCACAATCATAATGATCACACCAGGACCAGTACTAATGAGCCCAAAAGCAAGTGCTAACTTTTCACTATGACTTCCCAATGCTCCTTCCTTCTCTTCCTCATCAATGTTATGAAGCACCCACTCAGTTTCAGGCATGTAACCTTGTTGTTTAGCTCCGGTAATGATTTCCTCCAATTTCAAGTATATCTCCTGTTTACGTGTATGAGCACTATCACCAGCAACAAATGTATGCAATTGACCATCCACCTCCATTGAACTCCATCCAGGATCCTTCTCAACATTTTTGCTCTTCATTGAACTTCTAACTCTTTCTACATCATCCCATCTCCCTGCTCCTGCATAAACATTAGACAGAAACACATAGCCCCCAGCATGCTTTGGCTCAAGCTGTAGGAGCTTCTCGGATGCAACTTTTGCCATTTCAATGTTCTTGTGAGCTCTGCAAGCAGAAAAAAGTGCACCCCAAATAACATAATCTGGCTCCAAGGGCATACTTGCAATAAATTTCAAGGCCTCATCAAATCGGCCAGCCCTGCCAAGTAGATCTACTACTGCAGCATAATGTTTCATAGTGGGCTCAATTGAGCACTCACGCTGCATGCTATCAAAGATTTGAAGGCCCTGATCCACCCGTCCAGCATGAGAGCATCCGGTTAAAACAGCAAGGACAGAAACTCCATCAGGTTTGATTCCTGCAACCATTAGAAAAAAAAATATTGTACTCTGTCAAACAATTTCCTATAGAATCCAAGTAACTCCATGGACAAAAGAGTCTATCAAAAGTACCAGTCAATCTCATCTGTTCAAAACACCTAAGAGCTTTATCTACATGTCCATGGATTGCCCAACCCCATATCATAATACTCCACGTACGGATATCCTTCTCCTTCAATCCACTAAAAACCAGGCTTGCAGACTCAATATACCCACATTTCGCATACATATCAAGCAAAGCATTACCAACTGCTGCATTCAAATGGAGCCCATTGTTCATAATATTATCATGAATCTTTTTCCCTGCCTCTAGTGCCCCAGTTTTCGCACAAGCAGAAAGAGCAGCTACAACAGTTAAACCATTCGGCTTCACGCCTTCTTCCACCATCTTAAAAAACAAATCCAGAGCCTTTTGGTGCAATCCATTTAGCATTAACCCATGAATCATACAAGTCCAAGAAACAACATTCTTTTCATTCGTCATCTCATCAAAAAGCTCCATTGCTTTATCCACCTCCCCATTCCTCAACAATCCACTAATCAAAGTATTCCAAGAACCCACATTCCTCTCAGGCATTTCCTCAAACAACGCCAATGCCTTACTCATCCGTCCAATCTTACAACACCCATTAATCACAACATTCCACAAAATAACACTCTCAACTTTATTTCTCTCAGGACTTTCATCAAACAGTTGCAATGCAAAATCCACCAACTCAACTTTCACATACAACTCAACCAAACAAACCCTCACAAACGTATCATACTCCAAACCCACCTTCAAAACCCCACAATGAACACCCCCACCAACTCCCTTTTCACCTAATGCCGTCACTGATTTCAACACAAACGGATACGTAAGCTTATCAGGTCTAACACCCATTTTAACCATTTTCCTAAAATACAAAATGGACTTCTCAAATAAAGAATTCTCCTTTAACCCTCTAATCAAAACATTGAACAAGAACACATTTTTATCAAGAAAACAATTAAAAATTGACAAACCATAGTTAATGGATTTGTGTAAAGAAGCTGAAGATATCAACTGAGTAACAATTCTACTATTGGATGATAAGTTTTTTCGAATGATTTGGGCATGGATTTGTTGAAGCTGAAGAGAGTTTTTGGAACTATGGATTAGAGATATGAAATGGGGTTCATTGAAATTCTCAAAATGGGGTATAGGATTGATGATTTTGAGAGATTTTTTTGGAAATTTGAGCTTGTTAATCACTTTCATTGTTGAACAAATCAAGATTGTTTAGGTTTGTAACAAAGAAAAAGTTGAAAAGATTCACCAATGAAGAAAGAAACACATAAAATATTTGGTTGTCACCTTCTCGAGAGTTTTTAAAGTTAAATTAGATGAGATTGATTTGATATTTTGAAACTTAAATTCAGAAAAGTATTATAAATTGGGATTTTCTTGTATCAATATGATGAAGATATATACCTTAAATGTTAGTTAAAGCTTATATTGTTTGACAGTCAAAAAGAACAAATATTTTGAAATGAAGTAAACGTGTATGTTTCTATGCATGTATGCCTGTATCAGGGGGCGGATCTAGAAACTTGATTGCTCAGATCTTGTATGTACGTTAGGAGATACTAGTTGATTAAACGATTTTTTATAATATCAATGAACATGACTCATAAAGATTTGTTGATTAGAAACACGTGTTCAATAAGAACGACTCATAAAGATTTGTTGAGTAGAAACATATGTTCAATAACCATGACTCGTAAAGATCTGTTGATTAGAAACGATACGTGCTCAATAAGCATGACTCGTAAAGATCTGTTGATTAGAAATAATATGTGCTCAATAAGCATGACTAGTAAAGAACCTATAAATCTCATAACATGTTTAAGATTATAACCAAAACTCTCAGATCCTCTAGGACTACATTGTGAATGTTGATTAAGTTAGAAGCAACGAGCTTCTATTTATAGAGCCCTAAACCTTTTCCTACAAGAAAAAGGCTAACCAAATATGAAGACTTCATGTTTTCCTTTTAGGATAAGGAAAATCAATTTACGGTAAGAAACTCAGGACAAATACCCAACAAATACATGTATCAACAATCGAAGTATATCACATCAAGAGTAAAACAAGATTATATGTTGATTACAAAACATCAAACACAAAATAATTGTTTTCCATAAGAGCATATGTTTTCCAACTTCTTGATTTGCTAAACAACAACACCACATTTAACTTCTATATTATGGATTTCCAATGGCATTGTTGAGCACATTTGCAGCTGAATAAAGCACATCCATGTTCACATCTTCTCTCGGCATGTACAAGTGTTCACCCCCTCTAGTTCTTTCGAATCCACAGAGCTCAAGGAACTCGATACCTCCTCGTAGGTGGCCAACCCTCTCCTGTTATCAAAATGTCAAAACAGAATTAACGAGCACGTTTTGAAATGTATATCAAACTCTTATCTATAGAATATGTTCGACTTGAAGCATTGGATGGTAAAAACTTTCCCTACACATGTGTGAAAACATCCTGAACCAAGTAACCTCGAATTACATACAAATTTGAGTAACTGAATTTAAAGGTTAGAAAGAAACGCAACATAGAATTGAATAAACAACAAAAACAAGGGACAATCGTTTTGTAATTCACATTCTCACCTGGAATACAGCATTGTTGATTCTAATTTTGCGGTATTTCTCCTCATCAGGATACATAGCAATATTCCTAACAAACATACGCAGTGAGTCGAGAGCTTTCATGACTTTGGCCGCGTCATCCTAGTGGACATTGACAAAGACTCAGAATGAAAGGACAATTCTTCTTTATTCTGGAACAAAAACAACTCAAATATTACCATGTGATTCTGCTGGATAGTCCGCAAGCACTCAGCCATCTGCTCGGCCCTTGCAGCTAGAGGCAATGAACTCTACAAAATTAATTTAAAAAGCAACGTGAGTACGGACAAGCATGTCCAAATTGGAGCAAAACCATATCGACAGATTTCAACAGAAATTACCTGTCCTTCCTCTAAAACAGGTCTGGAAGGCAAACCAAGCTGCTGTCTTCTTCTTGCTGCCAGTGAAGTATCAGCCTGTGAAGTAAAATGTTTTTGTTATAACTTCAGAAAAGACAACCGAGAATTATCAGATGGAACTCGATTGCTTTGGATGAGGTGCAATGTGATCGTTAACATATTGGCCAAGTTGATCATAAAAAGCAAGAATGTTCATCAATATGCATTGATCCGAATCAAGAAAAAATCGGATAGCGGAGCCACATTAGACCTTACATCTTAGTAGATGTACGAAATCTACACATTTTCCAGAACCAGATACTATAATATACTAACTTGAGGTTGTTGCAAGAAACCATACACATCAAAATCTTGGATCTGCCTATGTTGACATGTGTTCTTAGCAAAATCAAAATTTTTAGGACACGTTAGGATTTCTAACCTCGTTCAAATGATCAATAGCTACTCTCAGTATCTGACGAAGGTTATCTCTTTTTCTTCTTTCTTCCTCTTCCGCCACCTCTGCTGTCCTGTCATAAAACTCAGTATGCCCAGACCTTTTCGAATGCATAGCACTCTCCTTCACATAATCAAAATCCAAAAGTTCCCATAAGCCACATGTAAACGCTATACCAACAATTGAACATAATGCCATAATTTAACTATTGGAACTCCCATCAAAACTAAGGGTTAGTTCGATAAGCAGACAAACTATGTATAAATATTACAATACATGGATTATACTGCACCTTAAACGCTGGATTACTATCCAAGGATCATGACAAAATATTATAGATAACATCAATAGTCATTACAGATAAAACCATAATCAAAGTGTAAAAGAAATCATTGGTAACAATCGAACTTGACAAGCAACTACAAGAGTAATACTATGACGTATAGTACGGCTAATAGTATAAAAGAATAAGCGAGAAAACGCTCAACTATCTAACTAACCTCCTACCCTAATTTATGTCCTCGAACAAAGAAGAAGGGAACCAAACACCCCATTACTAATGTAGAATTCAATACCAAAAATAATCTTGTAAACTACATTCCCTAAGCAATATCAACAGTTCAATAGCTTAGCTCCCATTAAATTACAATCTAATAGAGGTCAATTACGAATATAATCCCAAATTTGACCTATCAAGGCAAGTAGTTCCAGCAATAACAACGCTACATCAACACAAAATCACAATGAAATCTGTACAAAATACACCTCTGTTTTTTTTGTTTGTTAATAATCGTGATGTCCGAGCCAGTTTGCATACACCTCGATGTCACCTCCCAGCATCTATAGTTACACACACAACGATTAATTCCACAAAATACCTATCACCTCCTACTAACACCAACATGTAAGCGCACCTCGACTAATTCTATGGGATACTTGTCACCTCCCACTAGCAACAGTTATGTACACCGCACACCACGACTAACCTAATTCCACATGATACCTATCACCTCCCACCACCAGCACACCACGACTAACTCCACGAGATACCTAATTCCATAGGATACCTATCACCTCCTACCACCAGCACAACACAAGGCTACCTATCACCTCTCACCACCAAAAAGATGTATGCACACCTCAACTAATTCCAGAGGACACTTGTCACCTCCTACAACTAAGCAACACCGCACACCACGACTAACTTAATTCCACGAGATACCTAATTCCACATGATACCTATCACCTCCCACCACCAGCACACCACTACTAACTCCACGAGATACCTAATTCGACAAGATACCTATCACCTCCCACCACCAGCACACCACAACTAATTCCACCCGATACCTAATTCGACAGGATACCTATCACCTCCCACCACCAGCACACCACAACTAATTCCACAAGCAACCTATCACCTCTCACCACCACCAACATGTATGCACACCTCAACTAATTCCACGGGACACCTGTCGCCTCCTCCCACAACTAAGCAACATATATGTGCACCACAACTAATTTCACAAAATCACCTCATAATAACAAAATTTCTCCATGATGATTATAACTTACTGTTTTACAAACACAATGTTTGCCGCAAACTTTGCAAACTTGGTACACAAATGCTTCATTGGACTCACGGAAATTAGTATGCCAATTCTCTTTCGCATGCTGTTCAGCTTTTTCTGCCGATTTCAGTAGAGTTCCGCAATCGCCACACTGCAATAATACCCCTTCCAACATAGTGCCGTTCACCTATTTTTATTTTTATTTTTATTTTCTCTTCGATTCGATTCATGTATTTATAGTTGAAGTTTGTTTTTGTTATCACAGTTGGAGTTGAATTAGCTTCAATCGTATTTTAACCATATTTTAGAATTTTAATATACTTTTATAAAAAATATAAAATTACAATTAAATAGGATTAAATTTAATTTGATTTTCAAATAAAGTAAAAAAATAATTATCAAGGCTATATATGAGAGTGTCGAGTCAAATTTAGAGTAGTTTTACACCATATTGTTGACTAATTTAGCTTGACAATTACTTTATTTTGATTAATCTATTGATTTTTTAAATTATAAATAATTACTTTTACTCTATATAAATTAATCTTCAACTATGTTTTATAATATATTTTAAAAAATGTTACCTTGTAGAGAATAATAATTCATCATTTATTGAAAGTTAAAACGTTTTCAATGATTTATATGTGAAATTAATTTGAGTCTACTGATATTAAAATAAGTCAAATATCAAAATAAACATATATAATTACAGATGTGATGTTTTTATCCAAAACATCAAAGTTTTTCATCTAGACATCTGTAAACGGTCAATCACAATTTATTTTATATTATTTTTGCTTTTACTGACGTTTTAGGACATTTTCTAAAATTGGTACAATATTATCTATTGACATAGAAAAAGGCCAAGTAATATACTTGATTGAATGTTGAATAACTAGAGGATTACTAATCAATTTTGATTAATACAATTATTTTTTTTTAGTGATGCATCATGTTCAAGAAAATATAATGAAATCAATATAAATACTCCTTTTGTTTTATTTTTTGGGTTGAAAATGTTGGTGTATAGATCAATTTATGTGCATCTTGACTAAATTGACGAGATACCTATCACCTTTCACCAGCAACAAATACCAGTTAATTTTATTCACCAAAATTAGGACAAATGAAAAAAAATTATCTGTAAATATACTTTAACCAATGTAGTTTATAGACTCGAAACAACAATTTTCTCAATTACAACTTAGTAGATGATTTTATAAACTTACGGTATGGCAACGAGAATTTTGACCACAAGTGGAGCAAACAAGAAAACGAATGGCTTCTTTGGACTCGTAGAAGTTGGTGTGGTGAAAATTCTGCGCATGTTGTTGGGCATCTACCACGGATTCAAGCAGAGTTCCGCAATCGCCACACTGCAATAACACTTCAATCGCCGCCATAACTTTTACAGTTTTTACTTCTTTAGTGAGTTTATTTTAAAATTTTGTATGAAGTATTTTGTATTTATAGGTAGGTTTTTCAAGAAGGGCATTTAATCAATTTTTTATTTGTTTATGCGGATAATAAGTTTAGATTATCCAAGTATGTCGGGACTGCCAACTCATTAATTATTGTTGACTTATTTAGCTCAACAATTATTTTATTTTGATTCACCGGTCAACATTTTTACTATACATAATTATTTTTATTCAAAAATAAATTAAGCTTCAAATAGACTCTTATAATATATGCGAAAACGAACTAATCTAAATAGTTTCATTTTATAGTATTAAAAATGACCAATAAATAATAATTTATGCATAATATACCTTTTTATAATTAAAAATGACCAATAAATATATAATTTATGCATTATATACTTTTTTTTGTAATATTAAAATGACCAATAAATATATAATTTATGCATAATATACCTATAATCATGTATAGTTTATGCAAATTGATTAGAAATAAATTCATACATAAATTATTATTTCATATTGATTAGAAATTTTTGGTTGACATGGAAAGCTGCACTCAAAGAAATAATATTATTACTTCAAATATACTAAGTGAGGAATTACTAAAATTTTTGATACTCAAGCTAGGTAACTAAAGAAAGTTTCTAAATTTTTATTAGGGAAAATGCATACCCCCAACCTATATTCGAAATCCCAGAGACACACTTATACTATACTAAAGTCTTATTACCCTCTGAACTTATTTTATAAATAATTTTCTACCTCTTTTCGGCCTACGTGGCACTATCAACCAGATGGCTTGAAAAATTGTCAACACGCGTTGAACCCAGAAGATAGTGCCACGTAGACCGAAAAGGGGTAGAAAATTATTTATAAAATAAGTTCGGGAGGGGGGTAATAAGACCTTAATATAATATAAGTGTGTCTCTGAGATTTCGGGAATAGGTTGGAATACTTATGTATTTTGCCTTTTTATTATTACACTAAAAAAGGTATAGTTAATTTTAAGTTATTCACAAAGCATCAATGATAAAAGAAAGTTTTCTCACTTTCCCTTAATTTGATTCAATAATATGGTTCATTTGTTTTTGTTCTTATATGTTAGTAGCTCAAAATAAATTATTTGTTCGTGAAATCAGAATAAAGACAATAAAAGAGAGTCAATTTAAGGTATTATATCAAATGAAAACTAAGAAGTATTGAGTCTTTTGAAAATTGTTTGATTTGATATATTGGAGTGTGAATGAATTTGAGTTAAATTAGGCAGAACAATAAAAATACTATTATATATTTAATTAAATAAATAAATATTCAACATTCAGCTTCTGCCAGGACTTGAGAAGAGGACAGTTTTAGACTTAAATTTAATATTAAGGATATTTCGTAGTTAATCAAAATCAAAATATATTTTTGTCAAATTCTAATTTGATCAAGTATTTCTAAATGTGCAAGATGTTGCAGTAAAATTTTTAAATTTTGGTTCGTAGTCTTTCGATATGGAATAAAAAACAACCTCAGACACTTAAGTGTTACATCAAATACTTGCATTCAGGGTTAAATATTCAGATACTTGTTTTTAGGGCTTTGTAATTCAGAGTATACATCTATATTATGTATAAAGTGTTTTTAGAATTATATGAACTTATGACTTGTAAAGAGAATTGTAACGACCTAAACATTATCACGAGAAACATAAAATTATTCGTCGAAAATATGAAGTTGCGTCAAGTATTTATACAAGTGAAATCATCTAGCCACTTGCATTGTTACCACAACCTAGGGAGCAACCAAGACATTTTTTTGGTAAGACAACAACTCACTGCACTCCCAGATGTATATTTAAAAAAATATAATCATATCATGAATTTAATAAGATTTTTTTTCATACGCACAAAGCACAAGCAAATTCTCTAGTATACCTATAATAATACAATATGTATATAATACCTTCGAGGTTAGATCTCTCATCCAAATAAGTGGAAAGAAGATAAATTTGATCTAAACAAGTTAAAGACATATATTTGAACTATTTTTAATAGGCTTAGAACATTTTCGACGATTAATCATGTAAATATTAAAAAATATATTTTCATAATTTTAGCTGAAAAATAGAAAAAAGAAAAAAAAAGTCAAAAGAAGAGATTTTTCACAAAAAGGAAATTCCCAACCCTTTACCATTTTTCTTATTCAATATTCCAAAGAAAGAGCAAAATCTCATAAACCAAATTTCACATTTGAAGAAAATTGATCAAAGAAAGTGAAAAATCAAACACAAAAATCCCAAAAATTTCTTCAATTCCATAGTTTTTTTCTCCAAAACCCATCTTCCCCTTTTCAAATCTCCTTGATTCTCAAACCCTAATTCATAAATTCTCCTTAAAATTTGCATATTGAGTTTCAAAAATGGGGTTTTTGGAATCTTAATTTTCAAGATTTGGAGGAGGACCATGATGAGAAGTATATGGTGGTGGGAAAAAAACCATGATTTCCTACTACCCTTTTTGAGTTATTGTAAGATTCAATCAAAATCGACTGGTTTAGTTGTGAATGGAATCGAAGAAAGTTGCTTCATCTGGGGAAATTCAGAATAAAAAATACAAAAACTTGAAGATTTTACAGTGGGAAGATTATGAACAGGAATTAGCTCGTTTGTGTAGCCTTACATCTGCTCTTAATGAAGCTAAGCAGAAGAAAGAATTGGTTCAGCAGAAACTACAGTCATTTATACAGGTAAAGTTTTGAGTTTTTTTTTTTTTTAATAGTCTTGGTTAGTAGAATTTTTACTTTTATTTTATGTTTTTTTGTTTGCTTCTGAAGTGCATTGTATCTGTTTCCCTGTAGTAATAGGAGTTTTGTTAACTGGTAGCACCGTTGTTCGCGAGAAAAAATTCCCATTCTTCTAAAAAATTAATAAAAATAGGGGACTTTTCATCAATAAGAGCCAAGACAAGATCATCATAGTCGGATGAATCGATGTCAACTATGAAGATCTGTACGAAAGTTTTGATGTCGCCCGGCTGGGGCACCTGTTGCTGCTGGTGAGAGGTGTCAGGTATGCAGTGGAATTAGTCGAGGTGCATGAAAGCTGGTCCGATAACCAGGGTCATTAAAAAAAGTAGCACTATTGTTACTCGTTATTTACTGTGCTTCAGTTATCCCGTTAGTGGTTCTTCTTCTTTAGTTTTAATAAGTGGTACAACTTGTTTCTCTTTGTCCATGGCCTCAATATTGGGTTGTTAAATTCCTGAAGTGAAATAAAGATTAGAAGAAAAATTGTCATACTTTTAGGGCGTAGTCTCATTTCCGTTCTTTCTAACCATTTTGTGCGAGTAAATTCAGAGAAGTGGAAGTAATAAGGTGCTCTTTTAATGCTTTTGACTTCTATGTTCTCATACTGTCTCTCCTTTCCTTTTAATTTTATGGGCTTTAATGAATTAGCCCGCTTGTTAGCGGGTGACGATATGGTTCTCAGGTAGAAGCAGAGTCACTAAGTCGTTTGAATGAGCTTGATGAGATGAAAGAAAAACTGGATTCTAGAAAATTAGTGATGGGAAACATGTCGATGCATTCTAAAGTTGTTAAAGAGAAAGTCAAGAAGCAAGAGGAGCAACTTAGTAATGACATCAGGTCACTTTTGGTTGCAGGGACTTCTCTTTCTGCAGCTAGCAAGCGCTTGCAGGTATCTTAGCATTGAAAACTGTTTGTTCCCCCCTCTCTATATGCATATATCTACATCACCTTCTATACATGTGTTCCATCCCAAAAGACCGTTTACTAACCCGCTTTGTGTTATTTGCAACCCATAATGAGATTGAAAACTTTAGATGCATGAAAGTGGTATATGGTTAAGTTTAATATAATCTTGACATAGTGAGGCAATTGGCATGAGGAACACCTACCAATTTTGAAAGTGGTATATGGTTAAGTTTAATAAAATCTCGACATAGTGAGGCAATTGGCATGAGGAACACCTACCAATTTATTCTTGTCAGTTGATCAAGCCTGTCTTCTGAGTGGCTTGCATTCTAGATCCTTCAAATTGTTTTGCTCAACTGGTTGTCTATCAAACTCCTACTTGTGCTTCTTAAAGCACTTTTTAGCAGGATATATATATGGAATTTTCTATTGTGTTTGTGAAATGACACTTCTTTTTTTAAAGAAAGGTAACATATATGTTAAAAACAGGGAACTACACCAAAGGTGTATTCCAGTAATAATTACCAGTAGTAGTCAGAACTGCAAACCCTACTACCTATCTAGTCATAAGCATTCTAGAACACAAGAAATGTCCTCAACATCTAAAGGATATTCATGCTTGCACTAAAAATAAAGCAGCACTAAACTGTTCATCCTTAGTTTCTGGAAGTTACAGGATTTATCTTGAAAACACCTCTGGTTCCTCTCCCTCCAAATAGTCCACCATATGCAAGACTGATTACCCTTTCTGTTCCAACAAGCTAAAACTTCATGTATGTTCCTTGGCATGGTCCACCTGATACCCCTTAGATTGATGAGAATCTTCCATAGTTTATCAGCCACTTCACAGTGTAAGAAAAGATGATTTATTGTCTCAGCCTCGAATCCACGAAAAATGCATCTGGATCACAGCTGAAGTCCCCTTTTCATTAGATTATCTTGAGTCAGAGTAGCCTGTTTATCCAATAACCATGTGAAGCAGGCTACCTCAAATGGGATTTTGACTTTCCATATCATCTTCCAAGGCCAGCCCCCAGGTTGTATGTGAACTAAGCAAGCAGAGGTTGTTGGTGAAAAAGGATTATATGTGTAAAAAGAATTATAGTTTCTCTGTAGTTAGTTGGCCTTCATCTTCCAGTTATTAAAAAAAATTTAGTTGACCTTGTCCTCCGGTTTTTAAATAAATTTAGTTGGCCTTGTCCTGCATTCACCTGGATGTTGCTCTATTTGCTGGTATAGAGTTTTCTCAATTATTTTTCTTCTGATGTATTACTCCTGCTTTGAGTACTTCGTGGTGCGATTGGTCATCTGGACCGCTGCTGGTTTCAGCCTGTGCCTATGTTTTACTCCTTTGAGTGGCGCTGTCCAGACTACTGGTTGTATTATGGTTTTTTGCGCATACTTTTATCTTTCTAAGTTCCTTGTTAAGCTAAAAGTTTTACATTGTTCTCTATTTTCCCTCTGGTTTTTGGGATTTCATATAACCAAAAGTCTCATTTTCTCCATGCAGGATGAAAGTAGGTCCCTAGCTGGAGAAAGGGGTTATGGGCAACTCAGAACCTTGCAGAGGGTATTCAGAACGAGACAACAGTATATGGTGTCTCAAGTTCACATGCTTTATCCTGTGAGGGTTGCAATTGGACAGGCACCTGAGCAAGAACTTGAATTTTTCAACAATAGTTCCAACTCAGGTAATGGATCTTATGATGACTTGTTTCGTCAATATTCCCACGCGTGTGCTCTTGCATGAAAATTTTGAAAAAGGTTTGATGATTTCATGGCAGAGTTTAGTTACTTTTTGATACTACATTGTCGCACCTTCACTTGTAAGAAATAGGACTGCAGATGTGATCGAGAAGCACTTCTTGGAGACAAAGGTGTAAGAGCTTGGTCTGCTTCTTTTAGTCTCAAGCTTTAAGATCATTCTGACATGGCCATTACTAGAGTGAATTTGAAGGCCTAACGTATGGATTGCTAGGCAAAGTCCTCTGGTTTCCTCTTCGCCTGGTACCTGGAATAGACTTGGTTTTGTTGCTATATTAGTTGGACCAAGATTCTCCTTGATTCTTGCATTTAATGCATTATGCCAAGGAAAATTGAAGACACACACTAGTGTTCCCACAAGAATCTAGTCATTTCTTCTGAAAATAATCTCCTCATTAGTGCGGATCATTCTTGTTAGCTTTTATTCATTCATTTATTATAAATAGGAATTTGAGTGGAGTTATAGTAGGGGGATTAAAATAACTAATGGAGAAAATTGAGAGAAGAACCTTTTCTGGTGAACGTGTTATGTGTAAATATGAAAAATACCTGTTATAACTGTGGAGTACTGTTAAGATATGTCTATTTATGAATTCAATCCGACAAAGATGTGGGTAGTTCAGTGCATAAATAGGCCTAAAAGAATCCTTGCTTTGTCCAATCGAATGTAGCAGTCAATTTTCTTATGATATCGTCTTTGAAATAAATACCTGAAGTTTTGTTTCATTTGGTTTCTTAGTATGGTTATGTGTGAGGATTCTATAGCTGATGATAACGATTAGCTGATGGTTAGAGTCTGGAAATTGTGTTGCCTTCGATTATTGTGGTAGTAATAGTTTTTGTAGTTTAGATCATGAAATCATCTGTTAAAAATGTGAAGAAACAAAGAGCAGACAAGCCTATCTCAGTTTTCTTTTTGCCTTTTCAGGTGACTCTACTGGGTCAAAACCTTTAGATCATGGATCCTTGACCATTGCAGGTCTACATTTGACTGTGTTCACTAAGATGAGTTTCTTTACTGATAAGAAGGAGGTTCAGAGGTCTGCAACTGCCCTGGGATATGTTGCACATGTGTGTTCGTTCTCTTTGCTTCAGACTCTTCGTTTTAAATTGTATTTTTCCCATTTTGGCTGTTTTTAATCAATGTAATATTTCACTTCTTATTAGATGACTTGTAGAATCTAAGTTCTCCACTTTTGGAGTTCCAAATTTCCACATAACAAAAAAGATTGTGCAAACATGTGAAGACAGATATCCACAGACACCTTAATTAAGTATCTAATTCAGTTTTATTTTTTATCAAGAAGTGTCAAAGTCAGTTTTTGTCTTAAAACAATTGGGAAGTCAAGGTTGACATCCTATCTTGAGAGTTGGCTAATATGCCAGGAACTTATCCTGTGGTAGTTCATCAACATCTGTCTTCTCTCTGTGTGTATTCATTTGCATTGAAGTCATTCTTTTACTTTTTGTGGAATACACCAACAATAATTGTATTGATAAAAAAAGGGAAATTACCAGTGATGCGTTGTTTCCTTTGTGTCATTCTTCTGTTGATCGTTCCCTGTAATTTATCATTAGTCTGCTAGTGTATATTAATCTAGCTTATCTACCTTCATGCAGGTGGTCACACTTATTGCATCTTATTTACAAGTTCCTCTTCGTTATCCCTTGAGGTTTGGAGGATCTCGATCATATATCCGTGATTATGCACCTTCAATAGAGCCTTCATCATCTGATTTAATATCTAGTTCCTCAGTTTCCACAAATTCAAGACCCGTGGAATTTCCTCTATTTTTAGAAGGCCAAGACTCAACAAGAGCGGCATATGCTGTTTTCTTGCTGAATAAGGTCTGCTTCTTTATCTTACCTCGGCATATCCAGCTAGGTCCTTGTAAGAGTGTATGAAAATCCATGCTCCATGTACAATCTATTCAGACAACTCTATGATACAACATGTTCAATGGAATTGGATCTCTGATACCACTTGCATTTTAAAAAATCTAGATATCTGTTTTCAAATATTAATCTTGGTATATTTGAGGAAATTGCCTAGAAGTTAAAGAAGTGAAAGTTTTAAAACAGTCTCTTCCTTCCTTTCCAATTATTACTGTCCAGTTTGATTCGAAGAGGTAGGGAAGCATTTAGGCATAGTATGTTATCCACCGCCAAGGAGACTTTTTTTTGTGATTCCAAGATACAAATGAAGCATTGAGTTGTAGTATGTTATCCACCACAGAGGAGAGACTAAGTTATGTGATCCTTCCAAGTTAACTTTGTTTTCCTGTTATAGCTAGAAATAACAAGTTATGAAGAAACTTAGAAAGACAGGTGGGGGCACTCCTCAGTACATAGGTTTTCATATCATAACCTTTTAATATTTAAAATCCTTTGCAGGATCACTCCTGATTAGCAAAATTTACTCTGTTTATTCCTTCTCTTTTTATCCACTCATCCGCTTGCCCAGGACAAAAAATTCTTATGTTAGTAGATGCTTGAAATTGTCTATGAGATCTTTCAGCTTCTTATACTTGATGCCCTTGTAGGTTATCTTGACTCTTGATACCTCCTTTCTTCTTGATTGCCAAGTTTGCGATAACTTATCCCACCATTTATACCATAGTGATGGGAGGATAACTTATCCCAGGATAGCTAATCCCATGATAATTAATCTTGGGATGACTTGTTCCCAACCAAACGACCCCTTAACAGTCTTGTCCTCTTTAGCCAATGAGAGAGGGCGATAGATCATATGACTATGTAGCCTTAGTTCATAGTTCTTGCCGTATAGTTGATTACCAAGCATTACATGCTACGACTTAAAAAGCTTGATTGTTACCTCCATTTGAGGGTTTCTACTGGCTTTCAATTGACACTTCTCAGTTCTCATCATGTTAATTTTCTTTGGTTTTGGCATTTCCATCGAAGTTAAGTTCGATAATCTAACTTTTTCTTCTTCTTCTGTGCAGGATATTGAACAACTTCTGAATTATATTGGAGGCAGAAGTTTAGGGCCAAGACATGTACTAGCTAATTTGAAAGAGCTTCTTAGGATAATACTTTCTTCAGAGTATATAGACACATCATTATGATATTATGTAAATGTAGATCATTGTTATTTTTATACAGGTGCTAAATTTTCACTTAAAGCACCTTGCCTTCACATACCTTTTTGTCTAATTATTTCATTGAATCCTAAAAGAAAATTTTATGGTTTTGTTTTATTATACAGTTGGTGTCTTCTAGTTTCCAAGTTCCTAATTAATATTGCATTGATCGAATATGATTTTGCCATCATATGAATTGCAAATTTGTGCTCAACACATTGCATGGATGTCAACAAAATATAATTTCGATATTAACGATTTGACAGAAAACCATGACAATATTTCAATAATTATTTTTTGGGAAAGGTAGAATTTCTTATGGTATGTTTCATCTTGGCGGGCAAATGACTAAAATAATTAATCAATCAGTCTTTAAAATAATCTAATTTTTCTTTTACTTAAAAAAAAGAAAGGTTAATCTGTTTCCTTCTAAAACTCTTCTTTAAAAAATAAAATAAAATTATTGTCGAAAATAAATAAAGTGAAAATTGAAATTAAATAAATAAAATATAGGCGTATTAGTATTTGAGTTAGTATATATATGGTTAAAAAATATTTTTGGACGTAAACCCTAATGGCAAAAAATAAATCGGACTTTGATGAAGTTACTTGTATTCTTCCGAGTGATATCCAATATCTCATACTTATCAAGGTATCTATAGTAAAATCTTTGTTACGTTTTAAATCTGTTTCTAAGTCATGGAATGTTATAATCTCTGACAATGAATTCAAGAGAACTCATCGCGATCAATCCAAAGCATTGGGACGTGAAAAGCTATTGTTACTCAAACATAGTACTAATGAATTTGGGTTTCGAGAGTTGGAAACTTCACAATTAGATATAATTGCAAAGGGAATTTTTCTTCCAAGAAAATTTCGAAAAGCTATAGTCTTGTGCTCGTGTGATGGTTTGGTTCTTCTAAAAAACCCTATGGCCTACAAAACTTATGTTTTGTGGAATCCGTCTACAAGAGAATCTAAAACACTTGCATGTCCTTATTTTAACTACAAAGGCAAAGTTCCAAATGCTTGTGGGATTTTTTATGATTCTAGTGTCGATGATTACAGGATTATTTTGATTTATAAGTGGAGTTATGGTATGTATTCTTTGAAGAATGATTGTTGGACGAAGAAAACAAGTTCAACTAGTCATGTAGTACGTCTACTACATGATTGTTCCTTGAATGGGGGAATTAGTATCGGAGGTTATGTATATTGGATTGACTACGACAATCTTGAACAAAGAAATTCTACAATCATATATTTTGATGGAAAGTCAGATGAACTTAAAAAGCTTCCAATACCAGTTTTTGCAAGGGAGAGCGACTTTTTTGGTTTGATGACTATTATGAAAGGTTGTCTTAGTTTATATGGCGGCAATCACCAGAGTCTGGTATTGGAAATATGGATTATGGAACGAGATGAATGGAAATTGTTAATGAAAATATGCAACTTGCCCACTATTTGCAAAACATTTATAAAAGGTACACAACTATTTTGTTGCACGAGAAATGGTGAATTTGTCTTTCAAGAATGGATAGCTTCCCAATTCTTTATATATAATCCTAGACAACAATTGCTTACGAAATCTCAAATATCAAAGAATAGGAATTTTCGTGCTATTTCAACATGTTTGGATAGTTTATATTTTTCGAGTCTCAAAGTTGAGAGATCGAGAAAGAGAAAGAGAAAGAGAGTCTGCTACTTGCCTTTTTAGATGATAAGTCCATTTTTTTTTCCATATGATATCCTATTTGGTATCCTTGTTTGGCTTCCTATTAAGTCTTTGATTTGTTTTCAATTGGTTACGACATATGGATTATGAAACATATGGAAAATGTAAATGGTTAATGAACATATGCTTTGTTTAGTGATGATTAATCTACAATTTGAACTACTTTATGATTCATATTGTTGAATTAAATATATGTTTATTTTGGTTTAATATAAGGCTAATACTTTGGAGATTTCACGCATTTCAAAAGTCTTTTCTTTTTTCTTTCTTAAACTTTAAGGTGAAAACTTAGATAACCAATCAACTGAACTACTAAGTTTACCCATTAATTTTGCTAGTTTTTAAGTTGTAATACTTTATTGCTAGTATTTAATCATCCATCTTTTGTTCAAGTGAGCGTTTAGTCGAGATGAAAAAAATTATGTTGGAAACGCCACCTCACGAATAAATCCTACAATGTGCGAATTTAAATTTAGTTAGTATATAACGCGAGTAATGGAATACATTTTATTACCTTGAAAGAATTTTTTCATTATAAATAAATCTTATGGATAAGTTGTTTGTTCTGAAACTAAATATTTATCTCTTATGAGATTAATGAGAATATTAAAACTAGGGAAAAGGGTCAAAAATTCCCTTAAACTATGTGAAAGGAACAAAAATGTCCTTCGTTTATAGTTTGGCTCAAAAATGTCCTTACCGTAAATACTTTGGCTCAAAAATGCCCTTGCAGCCAATACTTTGGTCCAAAAATGCCCCTATAGTTACAAAATGGGTCAAAAATGCCCTTTTCCGAATAAATATATTATTTTTATTCTTTTTAAACACATCTTCTTCTTAATTAAAATATTATTAAAAAATACTATTCTTGTTTTCTTTCTTCTAAAATCACTTTAACTAATAAAAGTGTAGGAAATAATTTTTTTCTTCTTAATCTCATTTTATCAATTAAAATAGAATAACTTCATGTATCCTTTCGACAAATAATATATGTCATATATATAAGATCATTGTATATCCATCATTAATTTATATTTATGTAATGATAAAATATAATGATAATAAATTAAGAAATATTTTTATTTTTTATTTTTTATTTTTTTCTGAATTGAAGTAAGATAAACATTTGCTAATTTTAAAAAAACATTATTAGAAAAAGAATGTGTTAAAAAGAAAATAATAATATCTTTATTTGGAAAATGAGCATTTTTGACCCATTAAATAACAATAAGGGCATTTTGGACCAAAGTATTGACGGCAAGGGCATTTTTGGACCATACTACAAACGGAGGGCATTTTTGTTCCTTTCGCATAGTTAAAGGGCATTTTTGAACCAAAGTATTAACGGTAAGAACATTTTTGAGCCAAACTATAAACGGATGACATTTTTATTCCTTTCACATAGTTTAAAGACATTTTTGACTCTTTTCCATTAAAACTATAAACTATACTATAAATAATACCGGTAATGTTTATTTTTTCAATCCACTTTATCCATCTATTACCCAACCCCATTATTTTAATCAACAAACCTTATAATAAACTAGTAGGGTAAATCTAATCTTTCTATTACTACAAAAGAAGAAGAAGGTTTTGTTTCCTTCTAAAACTCTTTTTTAAAAATTAAAATAAAATTGTTGTCGAAAATAATTAAAGTGATTAATAGTAGTATTTGAGTTTGTATATATATGGTTAAAAAATATATATTTTTGGACGTAAACCCTAATAGAGGCATTGTTGTCCAATTACATATTATAATGGCGATAAATAAATCAGACTTTGATGAAGTTACTTGCATTGTTCCAAGTGATATCCAATATCTCATACTTATCAAGGTACCTATAGTTAAATCTTTGTTACGTTTTAAATCTGTTTCTAAGTCGTGGAATGTTATAATCTCCGACAATGAATTCAAGAAAATTCATCATGATGAATCCAAAGCATTGGGACGTGAAAAGTTATTGTTACTCAAGCATAGTACTAATGAATTTGGGTTTCGAGAGTTGGAAACTTCATAATTAGATATAATTGCAAAGGGAATTTTTCTTCCAAGAAAATTTCGAAAAGCTATAGTTTTGTGTTCGTGTGATGGTTTGGTTCTTCTAAAAAACCTCTATAAAACTTATGTTTTGTGGAATCCTTCTACTAGAGAATATAAAACTCTTGCATGCCCTTATTTTAGCTACAATGGCAAAGTTCCAAATGCTTGTGGGATTTTTTATGATTCTAGTGTCGATGATTACAAGATTATATTGATTTATAAGTCGAGTTATGCTATGTATTCTTTGAAGAATGATTGTTGGACGAATAGTTCAATTAGTCATGTAGTACGTCTACTACATGATTGTTCCTTGTGCGATGGAGTTAGTATTCAAGGTTGTGTATATTGGATATACTACGACAATCTTGATGAAAGAAATTTTACAATTATATATTTTGATGGGAAGTCAGATGAACTTAAAGAGATTCCAACGCCAGTTTTTGCCAGGGAAAACAACTTTTTTGGTTTGATGACTAATATAAAAGATTGTCTTAGTTTATATGGCGGTAATAGCCAGAGTCTGGTATTGGAAATATGGATTATGGAACGAGATGAATGGAAATTGTTAATGAAAGTATGCAACTTGCCCATTATTTGCAAAACATTTATAAAAGATGCAGCACAGCTATTTTGTTGCACGAAAAATGGTGAATTTGTCTTTCAAGAATGGATAGCTTCCCGACTCTTTATATATGATCCAAGACAGCAATTGCTTACGGAATCTCAAATATCAAACCATAGGAATTTTCGCGTTATTTCAACTTGTTTGGATAGTTTATATTTTCCAGTCTCAAAGTCGAGAGAACGAGAAAGATAGAGAAAAAGAGAGGCAGCTACCTGTTAAATCTTTGTTTCGTTTTCAACATGTTTGGATAGTTTATATTTTATTTATCGAGTATCTGAATTTCGTTACGTTTATTAGAGGAAAATGGTGAAGATGAAAGGGGGATTGCAGAGTACTCTGGTTCTGAGACTGCTCTGTTTAGATGATTAATCTACAATTTGAACTATTTGAGTTAGTCTGATATGATTCGATTGTTACTTAACTTTTATTGTATCGTAAAAGTAATCCTTATGTAATGATTGATTTGGTTTGCGTCTATTACCTTATTACCATAATATACTTCCAATCAAGTTTTATTTTCAAATCAAGAATTTCCTTATTTAATTAATAGGATAATTTCAGAAACCTCGCTCCAGGTTTAGCTTTGTAACACAAATCTGATACTTGATTCTCCCAATATAAATCTTAGTTTGTGTGATACGTATTCCATAAGA